AAATTGGAAAGATTTTTGAGTTGAAGAAACTATTTTTTCTAATACTTTGACACCCTGTACTCAGATTCACATCGTTATCGCATTAAGGTATTTCCCTTATGACATCTCTATCTTCTTTTATGACGTTGATCAATTCTTGATTAATATGTACTATAAGCAGTTCGTACGTCCGTAGTTTTCTGGAAGTTCGAACATAGGTACAAATTACACGTCCCATTGGACTTCTTGAATTTTGAGAACGTCATATTCTATGAGTATTCCATTCAAATGCAACTTCAGTTCTTCCTGAAATTGAAATATTAACATTACTGTAACGCCATATCGTACAAGGAGGTAAAATTCGTTTCACGAGGGTTTCTACTTACGTCATCATTTGCCTTCTTTTTTTACCAAATAAAAATTGACTGAAGCAAATTAATGACGTCATTAGCATTCGTCGATTCTTAAAACCAGAAGTAATACATTTTATTTAAAAAAAAATGATTTTGTCAAAAGAGCGTCTTGGAATATACTTGTTTGAATATTGCATAACTTAACTTTAATACAAAATTTGAATGCTATTGAATTTGTTTGAATTAATATACGACACACCCATTTTTCCAAATTATGACGGCAACGATGATGTAAGTCGAGATGTAAGTACAAACCCCCGTGAAACAAACTATACCATCGTCACCAAAAGTAATTGAGACAGCATATAATATTAGCTCTTGTACTATTAGACCGTCAGATAGTGACATATTTAAGTGCCCCATTTGGGCATACAAGCCTCGAAGAGGGTTGAAAAGTACATCGATTTTGAGTAGGATGAAGGTATTTTCATGAGTGGCTCCTGGGGATAACATATGGAAAATTCGATTTTACTTACGTTACCCTAAAATGTACTTTTCCATTCGCGACACTCAAACCAATATGTTTTCTTGCTACCAACTTTGTAGATTTTCATCCTTCCGATGGGCTTGTGTGGAAAAATCGCCCAAAATCTCGATTTTTCCTTACAAGATTACGCCCTTATTTCAAACCTTTAGCCACCTACAACACCCTTTTCTTTGTTTTCACGAAGCCAGGTTCTATTATTTAATCCTTTGGTGAACACAGCTTGCGAGAAAATATGGGCACCAGGACGTCTTTCATTTCTGTTATGGAAAATCGAATTTTCCATACCTATGCGAAAATGGGGCACCTAAATATGTCACTATCTGACGGTCTATATATGATTTTTAGAGTCGAATATTTGTTAAATTATGTTCAGAACCAAAAATTAGATTTCTTTTTTGGATTTTTTTTCTCATCGTAATTCTAAAATGTTACTGATGTTAGAGTTATTACTGACTAATTTGGACTCGCTCCCTCGATTTAAAAAGTCAGAATTGAGGAAAATTCAAAAATAAAAATTTTCAGTTTTTGGTACTTTTCCCGAAGGGTACCCCCTACCAGCAAGTTTATCTCAAGATGAATAAATCAGGACAGGATGTTAGCGAATACAATTTCAATACAAAAACAGATCTGCAAAAAAGTCGTCTGATCCAAATCCATTCAAACATTTAAAATGCTGGAGGATTTTTTCCAGCAGGTCTTTTTTCCTATTCCAACAAACATCCCAAGCAGCAAAGGCTAGTCGTTATGACATCGTTTTTAAAGAGATTTACGTCGATGAACCAAAATTCGACGTCAGAAAGAGGTTGCAAAATAGGACGTGACGTAGTGGACGATTATTTGACCACGACATGAACCAATTAACAGGTTCAAAAGTTACCATGTAGAACCCAATATGACCCATTCAAAAAAAAAATACCCTGTATTAAAACCTCTATGAAGCGTCCATTTGACGTCTTTAAATAATTGGACGTGGATCGATTGAAAAGGTATACAGTGTGATTTTTTAAGTGTGCAACATATGGGGATTTTTTTTAGTAATAGCACAACCCAAATACAAACAAAGCCAAAAGTTGGTGCATGTCTGATAATCATATTAGGTGCACTTAGAATGGTTGCAAGTCAAACAGCATACATCAGGGTAGCTCAAACAACATCAAAGCTGTACTGTAAAAGTACCCTTATTTTAGAAAATTCAGCAAAATGTTAAAGAGAAAAGTTGTTTGGAATTAAAAGTTATGCCTAAATACCAAAACATAGCCTCCTAAGATTGTTTTTATTTTCTTTCGAAAAAAATCTATAATTTCTATATTTTTTTTATTTTTTATTTTCACCCTTAATACTTTCAAAAACTAATTAAAATCAAATCAATTTTACATAACTTTGTTCAAATTCAGGCATATTTGTAAAATTAACTTAGATTTTTAATTTTTTATGAAATCACAAAATTCATGTTTGTTGCAATGATATTCAACACAACCCTGATATCCAGGGAAACAATCATGGTTTGATTATTTCTTTTTGGTAATTGGTGTCCTCTGGGGAAGCCGTCCACAATAATAGGTTAGGATCCCATTTGTTACACGATTATACTATTAAAGATAAGTGTAGTAGTGGGGCACTACCGAATACCGGCGAGAAATGGTTGAATTATGCCAGGCAAAATTGTTTTTGTGTTTTCCAGATAAGAGTCAAGTAATAATGTTCTATATTGTAGCTGAAGTGAAATGGTCACGCCTCTAAAGAGGAATAAAAAACCTTTCAGAGGAGGTATCACACGAGTTAGGTTCTCATTTTAGAAAAATCATCAGGGGGGCAAGCCTCCAAGACAGCAGAAGTAGGGGTTAGGCAATAAACACATTAGGTTTCTCCGATGTATATTTGACACTTTTATGATAGAATCACAGATCAAAGACAGAATTCTTTTGTCTAAGAGATAGGTAGTCAAAATTACGGTAGTTTTAAAAATATGCTTATTTTTAAACACCAATATATCAAAAACTGATCGTATGGTTTGAGATTTTGCTATAAGACTGTAAAAGGAAAGCCATGAGCTATCCAACGATGTGCAAGACAAGGTAGGTTCGTATTTGAAAAAAATAAGTTAGGGTAACTTCCCCCTAACAGGTGAGGCGGGGTGAACCAAAAAGTGCCTCATTTTGGTTCCCCCTCCAATCCCTCGAGATCTTCCTGATAGTATTTTTTGTCTAAGAGATATTCTCGATTAATACTTTTCAAATTGTCACCCTGTATATGCTTGACGCACACTTAAGCGTACAGCGTACCAGACCCATGTTAGTTATAGCACGTTATAGCTACCCGACGATACGTATATTTCCTTATGGGATTTTAAAAAGTAGCCTCTATGCGGAACATTGAAAAAGGTTGAAGTATATACTACCAAAAAAAAAAAGAAAAAATATGTATAAGGAACAATCCAAATATTTCCCAAAAATATCTAAAAATGCTGATATTTCAAAAACGACGAAACTTTGCATAAGGATAAAAAATATGGTCCATCAGCTTCCAAATAAACCCAACTATCACACATTGAAAACTTCTCATTGATGTACCAAACACCCTCTATATATTTTAAATTAGGATCAAAGGAGGACTAAAAAATAGCGTTTTATTTTTTGAAGTAACTTGGGTATAAATGACACATGTTTAGATAGGTAACACTGAGACTATGTTTTAGTAGAATTTGCAACCGAAACATTGAAAGAAAAAAATCTATTACATATGAAAATTGTTATCAGAAATAGATAGTGATAACAAAAATGATTATGAATTAACATTTTTAAGGAAAAGGGATTTTTTTCCCCAAATGTTCCATATATTGCAACTGTTGCTAAAACAGATAAGATGATTTTACCAAAACCAGTGAATTACAGAAAGACTAAGCTCCTACTATGTGTTCATGGGTTTGAATCTTTTATAGAAGTTTGTTTCAGTTTCTTTACATAATAAATTTCTAGCTCAGATAATATTTTTCAGTGAAATTGAAAAAAAATAAAATACCTAATTATTTTAAAGGATTATCGTAAAATATTTTCATTAGAAGGAAAACATAAGAGTGAAAATTGCTAATAATTATATTGTTGTATCAAGCCAATTTTAATAATAATCATTCCACAGCATCTGTTCTTTAACAAGATTTTTTCTCGGTGCCAAAAATTGATTATCGCATGCTTTTAGCGGATGTCAGTGTACCTACGTATGGAAATATGGATATTAAAACAAATTCCTGCCAAATTTCGTTTTTTTGGCTCGGTCATGCTTCACTGTGCGACAAATTCGAGGAATGTCCATTAATTAAGATAAGCTAAATTTTTAAAAAAACAATGCATTATGCAACTCGCATTTTTTAATAAATTTTCACTTTTAACAATCTCTCATTGGTTGTCATGCTAAAATAAACTATCGTTTGATTCGATTCATTAATAATAATTATTGTTAGCAATAACCATAACTGATGATTTCCTTGAAACGGTTATTGTAATCCGAGTTTTTGCCGCACCATTGTGTATGTTGCAATATGAGCACACATGAACCTACCCAGTTACCTTTTTATTGAAAAAAATGTTACCATGATGAAATCATGCAATGGTTCCATACATAAAAAAATCCAATTAAAAGTTGGAATTTCAATTTAATAATGTTTTATTGCTTATTTATTAATTATTTATTGATAAAATATTTCCTCTAAAAATTATATGTATTTCAAATCTAAAAGTTCCATTATCACTATCTTTCAAATGATGTTATGACAATTAAAACATGTATGTCGGGTATTTTATATTAAAAAAAAAAAATTAATAGAAATTAATTTTATTGGAATTTCCTTTATTGTAACACAGGTGGTGGCACAGTAAATTTAGAATAATGAATAATTTAGTGTGAGGAAATTTTATAGACTTGCATTCTTAGATATTTGGCATAGAAAATGTAACTATTATACCTAGATGTAGTACAAAATCATTTTTAATTTCATCTTACACCAATTCAAACTCGAAAGATTTCTGATTCATACAGAAAATCTTGGTAAAAAGAAAAGAAATTTGGCAAAAATTCAATTAGTTCTTAATATAATAAAGTAATAAAGGGAATAATTATTGTTTTAGGCTTCAAGAAGCACCCTCAGAGACCTAATCAGCTTCATATCGTAAAAATGGGATGTTTCAAAGCAGTACTAGATAGGGTTAAAAAAGACGTGCAAAGAAAAATGGGCAACATGCCCACACTCAATTTGAACGACGACAAGTTTGAGAGAATCACGGAGGAGCGGTCATCGAAGAAATCCTTGGATAATTTGCTCTTACCCAACTGGATGGAGGTACGTACCTAAATATTCATTAACTTACCTAATATTTCAATAGGTAGAGAATTTAATTGGCTTTAATTAGAGCCTAATTACATTGAAATCGGATGGAAATTAACGGAGCTATCAGGCAAAAACTGTCTCTGCCTACAATAACTAAATTAATTAAAAATACAAGCTCACACATTTCAAAGTTTTTTCTGGAAAACTAGGTAAGGGAAAAATTTGAAACTTTTTGCATGTAAAGAGGAAGCTTAGAGGCTCATTTTCCCGAAATTTCAAATTTTTTCAGTAGAAAAGAAAAACCTGGAGAATCTTCGAAATCAACCTACAATAACTGAGTCATTTGAAAATACAGTCTCACACATTTCAAAGTTTTCCTGGAAAACTAGTTGAGGGAAAAATTTGAAATTTTTTACATGTGAAGAGGAAGGTTAGAGGCTCATTTTCCCGAAATTTCAATTTTTTCCAGTGGAAAATAACAACATGAAGAATATTGGAAGTCAACCTACTATAACTGAATTATTTAAAAATAGTCTCACACATTTCAAAGTTTTCCTGGAAAACTAGTGGAGGGAAAAATTTGAAACTTTTTGTATATAAAGAGGAAGGTTAGAGGCTCATTTTCTCAAAATTTCAAATTTTTCCAGTGGAAAATAGAAACATAAAGAATATTGGAAATCAACCCACAATAACTGAATTAATTGAAAATACAGTCTCACACATTTCAAAGTTTTTCTGGAAAACTAGTTAAGGGAAAAATTTCAAACTTTTTGCACGTAAAGAGGAAGATCAGGAGCTCATTTTCACCAAACTAATTGATTTTTACTGAATTAATTGAAAATACAGTCTCACACATTCCATAGTTTTCCTGGAAAACTAGTGGAGGGAAAATTTTGAAACTTTTTGCATGTAGAGAGGAAGGTTGGAGGCTCATTTTTTAAATTTTTCCAGTGGAAAATAACTGAATTATTTGAAAATACGGTCTCAAACATTTTAAAGTTTTCCTAGAAAACTAGGGCAAAGAAAAATTTGAAACTTTTTGCATGTAAAGAGGAAGGTTAGAGGCTCATTTTCCCAAAATTCCAGCCAAAAATACAGCCTAATACATTTCAAAGTTTTCCTGAAAAACTATTGGAGGAAAAAATTTGCAACTTTTTGCATGTAAAGAGAAAGGTTAGTGGCTCATTTTCCCAAAATTTCAAATTTTTCCAGCGAAAAATGAAAACATGAAAAATTTTGAAAATCAACCTACAATAACTGAATTATTTGAAAATACAGTCTCACACATTCCATAGTTTTTCTGGAAAACTAGTTAAGGGAAAAACTTCAAACTTTTTGCACGTAAAGAGGAAGATCAGGAGCTCATTTTCACCAAACTATAAAGTTTTCCAGTGGGAAATAACAACATAAAAAATCTTGGAAATCAACCTACAATAACTGAATTAATTGAAAATATAGTCTCACACATTTGAAAGTTTTCCTGGAAAACTAGTGGAGGGAAAAATTTGAAACTTTTGCATGTAGAGAGGAAGGTTGGAGGCTCATTTTCTCAAAATTTCAAATTTTTCCAGTGGATAATAAAAACATGAAGAATCTTAGAAATCGACCTACAATAACTAAATTAATTGAAAATACAGTCTCAGTTTCAAAGTTTTCCTAGAAAACTAGTTGAGGTAGAAAAATTGAAACTTTTTACATGTAAAGAGGAAGGTTAGAGGCTTATTTTCCCAAAATTTTAAATTTTTCCAATAAAAAATATGAAGAATCTTGGAAATCAATCTACAATAACTGAATTATTTGAAAATACAGTCTCACACATTTCAAAGTTTTCCTGGAAAACTAGTGGAAGGAAAAATTTGAAACTTTTTGCATGTAAAGAGGAAGGTTAGAGGTACATTTTCCCAAAAGTTTAATTTTTTCCAATGGAAAATAACAACATGAAAAATTTCGAAAATCAACCTATAACTGAAATAATTGAAAATACAGTCTCAAACATTTCGAAGTTTTCCTGGAAAACTAGTTGAGGGAAAAATTTGAAACTTTTTGCATGTAAAGAGGAAGGTTAGAGGTTCATTTTCCCAAAATTTCAAATTTTTCCAGTGGAAAATACCAACATGAAAAATCTTGGAAATCAACCTACAATAACTAAATTAATTGAAAATACGGTCTCAAACATTTTAAAGTTTTCCTAGAAAACTAGGGCAAAGAAAAATTTGAAACTTTTTGCATGTAAAGAGGAAGGTTAGAGGCTCATTTTCCCAAAATTTTTAATTTTTTCAATGGAAAATATGAAGAATCTTGGAAATCAACCTACAATAACTGAATTATTTGAAAATACAGTCGCACACAATTCAAAGTTTTCCTGAAAAACTAGTGCTAAGATACATTTGAAACTTTTTGCATGCAAAGAGGAAGGTTAGAGGCTCATTTTGCCAAAATTTCAAATTTTTCCAGTGGAAAATAAAAACATGAAGAATCTTGGAAATCAACCTACAATAACTGAATTATTTGAAAATACAGTTTCACACATTTCAAAGTTTTCCTGGAAAACTAATGGAGGGAAAAATTTGAAACTTTTTGCGTATAAAGAGGAAGGTTTGAAGCTCAGTTTCGTAAAATTTCAAATTTTTCCATTCGAAAATAATAACATGAAGAATCTTGGAAATCAACCTACAATAACTGAATTATTTGAAAATACAGTTTCACACATTTCAAAGTTTTCCTGGAAAACTAGTGGAGGGAAAAATTTGAAACTTTTTGCATGTAAAGAGGAACGTTAGAGGCTCATTTTCGCAAAATTTTAAATTTTTCCAATGGAAAATATGAAGAATCTTGGAAATCAACCTACAATAACTGAAATATTTAAAAATATAGTCTCATACATTTCAAAGTTTTTCTGGAAAACTAGTGCAAAGAAAAATTTGAAACTTTTTGCATGTAAAGAGGAAGGTTGGCTCATTTTCCCAAAATTTCAAGTTTTTCCAGTGGAAAATAACAACATAAAAAACCTTGGAAATCAACCTACAATAACTGAATTACCTATTTGAAAATACAGTTTCGACACATTTCAAAGTTTCCTTGGAAAACTAGTAAAGGGAAAGGTTAGAGGCTCATTTCGCCAAAATTTCAAATTTTTCCAATGGAAAATAACAACTTGAAAAACCTTGGAAATCCACCTAAAATAACTGAATTAATTGAAAATACAGTCTCATAAACCCTACAAAAACCAGCACAAACACCTTAAAACCATCACAATAACCCGCAAAACCCCAAAAAAACCCAGGTTTTTGCAAACCCTGAATTTTTATGAATTTCAGTCAAGATTTTCTGAATCACACTCGAAAAATTTGAATTAGAAGTGGGGTTTTCTGAATTTTAGTTGAGATTTTCTGAATTACATTTTGAAAAATCTGAATTACAATTGAAAAACGTAGTAGAACATCTCATACGAATTATTTTTTTCGCAGGACAACAAAGTAGCAATGGACTTTCGTTCGGGCAACGGTCAAATAGTCATCAACCAAAAGGAAATCGACAAAATAAGAAACGACCCCGGCCAACTACTGCGGGTCCTCGACGAAAATATCCCAATAGAAAAGCTGCAGCACGGCCCTTATTTGACTCAGAAGTATTACCACCAAGAACTCAGTCGACCTCATGCAGAAAAACTACTTAAGGCTGCCAACTATAATGGGTAAGTAATAAATCTGTTTTCACAAAAATCACAAACCAAACTGTTTCTCATTACTGTAAGAATAAATTCGTTTTGAGAGTGTGTATTGAATTTTTCAATAATAGACTGAGAGCAGGTTTTAAGTCGCGTGGGAGGCCACGAATTGGGTTTAATTATTGAAGATGGTATAATTAGCCGGTATAATGCAAATTATTGGACGCCTACGTAAAGGAATATCTTTATTGAAATAAATTATTGTAATTTTTTGATGTCGACCTTTAATAATAATAATTATCAGGGAATTAATTTTACTTAAAATAAGTTTTGAAGTAGGGATATTTGAAATTTTAATATTTAAGCACTCATTTCAAGAATTTATTGAAGTACCTTATTCAAGTTTGCTTCTAATTATTATATATGTACATACAGGGTGGTCAAATAATATGAAACGTTAATTCCTGGCAAATTTAACTAGAAATTCCAAGATATAATTCAAAGCATTCCATTACTATATGAAATAACAAAGAGACTCTGATTCAGAAACACAAATAGAAATGATAGATCATACCCTCAAATAATATTATGCATTCGGTTTGGCAACAATATTCGTTCTGGCTAATAAAATGAAATGCCAAATGGCAACAAACTGAATTCGTGCCGTCACTGACCTAACCGCAGGTTTGGCAGCACCGGCAGGACATGGGGTAGGTCAGGGTAAACTCTAGCCACAAGGATACTACAGTGCAGTACAGACGAAAAATTGTATGAAAATTATTTTTTTTTTTTTTTTTCAGTGCCTGGTTGCTTCGGACAAGCCAATCTCGGAAAAATTGCCTGACAATTTCCTACATCTATGAACAAAAGGTGCACCATATGTACGTCACCACGACGGTGTACTACGACGAAAAAACTAAAGAACGTGATTTTTTGGTCACCATGGACCTGCGTTGGGGCTTTAGGGACGTGCACGATCTCACTGAGTATTATAGGCATAAAAAGGGACATTTGTCTTGTAGGTAAGTTTAATAATTTTGGTAATTTTTTTACCAATTCTGTTATTAGAGATTATTAAGGGCCAGTTTTACAAACAGCGTTAACCACACAACATTGGTAACCCACAATATATCTGTTTCATGATGTGGTTGAGCTAAAAACATTGATCAAGCATCAGAAAATTTTAATTCAATCTTCATTTTGCGAATTTGTGGTTAACTTGCAACCACAACTATTTGTTTGAAAACCTGTGCAGGTTACCACCAATTGTGAAACTGGTCCTTTCAGGTATTTATATTTTTATTTCAATTTTTTTCCATCCTATATATTTACTGGATAAGTGAATATCTTTTTGGGTTGGACAAAGTTGTCACACAAACTTCTTTTGAGCATTTTCCTTATGCTTTTTTAAACGTCATAAAGGTCAATTTTGTTTATCCAATATTCAATATTCTAATAATTGCTCTTGTAGAAAGAAGTTTCCCTCCTGTACATTTTGATATATATGATTTATTATTTATGACATTAAAGTTTTGTTAGTTGTACTTGTCAGAATAATATAATATTTCTCATTGTAAAAACATTCTAAGTTCAGACATCAATCTTTACAAATATTTTACTTCCTACTTCACATCTGTCCTGCGTTTACTTATTGCTTACAAAGGTTATAGGCCCAGATAGGCCAGCAGATGTAATCATAAGAAGATTCGTCAACCTCTGAAACTGCAACAAGAAAATTTTGAAGTAGATTCCAACTGTCAAGAAAATTTTCTTTTTAAAAAGTTAGGATTTTATAGACATTTTTCCAAGCAAGTTTCAATTATGTCTGCTACTGTAAGTTATGCAGAAAGTTCCAGTTCAGCTCCTTCTTTTGATAAGTTAAAAGGAAGTGAGAATTATAGTGATTGGTCGTTTGCCATGAAGATGATACTTCGTCATGAAGATCTTTGGGTTTCTATAAATGGCTATCGAGAAGGCGATACGAAGCAGTAAAAAGTAAGAAAGATCAAAAAGCTCTTACAAAGATTTGTTTGATTTGATGGTTCAACCTTGCTGTTATCCTCACATAAGAGAATATGAAAAAGCTATTGAGGCTTGGGATAATTTGAAATCAGCTTACGAGGATAAAGATCTCAATCGTAGAATCAGATTACTTCAAACCTTATGTAGTATCAGGTTATAGAATTTTTTTCTAAAATGGATGATTACGTTAATGAGTTTATGACAGTGTCGCAAAAACTTAGCACCATAAATAAAGCTGTTGATGATGAGTTACTGGGAGCTATGATGCTTCAAGGATTGCCAGAAAGCTATGATCCTATGGTGATTGGCGATTGAACACTCTGGTGCACAGATCACGAGTGATTTGATCAAATCCAAGTAACTACAAGATACAAAGTAGGAGAATGATAAACACAATTCAAATAAAGCTTTGTCGTCTAAGAAAAATAAAGTCAATAATGCGAAAGATAAAAAGCCTTGGTGTTGGAAATGTTGTTCTGTGGGACACTATAAGCAAAATTGTACAAATACAAAAGTCAGTGGGCCTTCTACTTCTAACCAAAATAGTATGAGCAGAACAAGTCAACCAAGAATGGAGTTTTTATTACCGCATTAGGTTGTCAATTATATTGACAAAAATGATGTGTTGATTCTGGTGCTTCGTTACATGACTTCTAACAAAGAATGGCTGGTCAATTTTTCAGAAGAAAGAAACGTTGGCTTAGAAGTAGCTGTTTCAAATAATTAAATCTTATACAGTCAGGGAATTGGAGATGTATCTATTATTCTCAAGGATAGATCACCAGTCCAGGTTATTTCTAACGTAACCTATGTTCCGGACCTATCTTCTAACTTGCTATCCGTAAGCCAGATAGTCTCTAAAGAGTATTTGATCAAGAAGGATGCAAGATACTTGAAAACTGCGTGATTGAAGGTGATACAGTGGCTACAGCAACTGAAATTAGTGGAGTCTATTGCCTCAATCTAAACAAAACCGAACACGCCAATTTTTCAAACACAGAAATGTCAAAAGTACTTTGGCACAGAAGACTTGGACATTTAAACCGTATCAGTATGAAACTTCTTCGTGACAATATTTTGAAGAATTTTCCAAAGGAAAATGGCATAAAATTCCAGCTAACAGTACCTTACACACCACAATAAAATGGAGTTGTAGAAGGCATGAATCGAACAATTTTGGATAAGACGAGATCTATGATACAAGAATCGTTTTTGGGCTGAAGCTGTCAATACTTCGGTATATTTGATCAATCGATCACCAACAAAATTGATCAGAAAACTTACATATCTTATGGTGGGTATTATAAAACTATTTTGACAGAATAACGTAAAGTTAACTTCTGGAATGACGTTACTTCTCTTCTCATAGGGCCGGTTTCTCATTAGCAAGTCACCCCCGAGTTAAGGATAATTCCAGGGTAAACATAGCAACTGGCCACGCTGCCTAGAGTTAAAACCAACTCGCTATTTAGAAATTGGCCCATAGTAACTTCAGAAGTTTTAGTTATCTCTGTCAAAATAGTTTTATAATACCCGCTTTCAGTTGGCGGACACTGACCTTAAATTATTTCGGTATTATTTATTCACAATTAAGTTACAAATCCTACCATGTGAAACCGAAATTTGGCAGTTTGCAACACTGGAACTCAAAAACTCACATATCTTAAGCTGGGTTCGGCTATTCAGCGCGGAGTTGGAGTGGAGTGAATAGGGCTAATGGAGTCACCCCTAATACGGTAAAAAGTAATACTCGAACCTTAACCCAAACGGCTGGAGTGCGAATGGAGTCACTCGGAGTGCACGGAGTGAGCAAACCGAACCCACCTTTAAGTAGGCCATATAAAATTGCAATTTAACTTTCTTTCAGTTGGCGACATTGAATTTTGACGTTAACACTGAATGTCAACAAGTACCAAAATTGATTTTCTCTTAACGTTCCTTTTGTTCCTATTCTTTTGTCCCAAAATCAACACAATTTCACTATAATTCGTCAATTCTCTTGGATATAATTTCATCATCAAACATGACGTAATTTTTTGTAACATTTTAACACTGTTGCCAACACAGCAACATTCTACAACTCTCCATTTTATTCATTTTCATTATTAACATAGAATATTTCTCTATTCCAGGCTTTTGAATTTACAAGAATTTGGAAAAAAAAAATTGAGAGCTGGGAATAGACAAAAAATCAAGTAATCAATTATTCGGTTGGCAACATTAAAAAATCGCTGGAACTCAAGATTCCATGTAAAATGTCTTTTCATAGGACCCCAATCAAACGAGACAAACGTTGATGATCTTGAATAGTAAAACTTCCAAATTGGCAACACTGAAAGTTATACTAGAATTTCACATTTGGCAACACAATAAATTACATAGTAGGCCATATAAAATTTAAAAATATCTTTCTTTTTATTGGGGACCCTGAAGTTTGATCTGTCATTCTAACCAAATTTTCAAGTATTCTTCGTGTTCTGTACTCCACAACGCTGAAATTCAATAGGTTCCATATCCTATAGTAGGCCATGTAATATTTAATTTGACACTGAACTTTTTGCAAGTCAAATAATCTTGGTACTGATTATTTACAATTGGCAACACTGAAACTGAATAAGTTACATTACCATAGTAGGCCATATAAAATTTACATAATTATCTTTCAGCTGGCGATACTGAAGTTAAATTTCTTGAGGGTAGTTCAGAAAATTACCGTAAATATTTCTGACAGCTGTCACTCATTTGAAATTAGTTCCTGCCTACTAGACTGTCAATAGTGTCAGATGTCAATCAAATCTGAAAAATGTACGCAACCAACTTAACTTGGAAAATGTTATGGTTCTATTTATAATTTTTTCGAGAATATACTTCAAAACAGTTGGAGGACTCTTATTTTGACAGTCATGACAACGCATACACTGTTACCAACAATATTCACGTAGTTTTTTGAGTTTCCGCTAGGGCTTTCATGACGTGGCGTAAAGATTTTCATTTTTCATATTTTTTTCTATTCCAGGCTCTTGAATTTTTCTGAGTGTCTTTTTTTATAGAATCTGGCTCCAAATCTCACACAGACAGCTCAGGGCCGGATTAAGGGGGGGGGCTTTGGGGGCTAATGCCCCGGGCCCCGTAATGAGGGGGGCCCCAAAACCCAACCTCACACGGGGAAGAAATCATGCATATAATTTTACAATTTCGATTTCGTCATCTATTATTTATCAATTATATCAAACACAACACTACCCTATAATAATGGCGAAATTCCTATACCAATAGATGGCGCTAAATTACGCTAAATAGCAATATGTCTGCCGAACTCAGTGAATAACAAAGCCAGTTTTTTGAGGTTGGTTTTTGTTAAATTGTGTTTTATGGTGTTTTTGTGATTTATATAACAGAAACAATACATAAAATGAATAATATTCTGTAGAAAATTGAAAACTTCCAGAAACTATGCCGGGGGCCAAATGCAAACTTGCTTTGTTGTTCACTGAGTTTTGAGTACCAAAGTTGATCATAGATGTCGCCTACTTCGGGGCCTTTGGCGAATTATTATTGAGTAGCTGGTATAATTATTGATAGATGGCGCACTATCCGCATAGAAGCTACAGTAACTTTATACAAGACAGTGGCGAAAATAGGAACCCTGGATACAGGGACGGAGCCATGGGGGTGGGGGGGGGGGGGGGTTGGTTTTTAAAATATATCGAAAGTTGGGAAAACTTGGATGAAAAATTTAAAGTTGGGAAAAATTGGCAGACAAAAATTTGCGCACCTTATTTGCGAGGACTAATTAAAATTAACATTAGCATCGCGTCACGTGTCGTGATTTGTAATGAATTGCAAAATCACCGGACAACAGGATGACGAAATCTCAATGATCGCGGCGATCTCTTAACGAAATCGTTCTTATTTTTTTCTCACTTTATTTGAAATGATATCGCAAAATAAACTCCACATTCTCATTGTCACTTTTTCTCCACTACATGATGATGTTATT